GGAAAGTGACTTCAGCATCACTTTTGAATCTTTTAGGCTATGGAGCCTACCAACTGCCTTGTCCGAAAAAAGGAAAGGTCCTTCATCTGGGAGGTCTTAGATGGTCTGCTGAACAGGAGTGATGAATTCTTCCTCAAAGTGTGTGTGGGTATGAGGCCTCTCTCCCTCTGTGGCCCCACCCCCTACTCCTCCTCTTCCCCCTGAGGCCCTGTCCCCTGCAACCAAGCCAGGAGCCAGAGCTGGGTCAGGGAGCCTGGGCCCCTCAATCTGCTTGATGTCGAGGGGCGGGGGCGGGGCTGAGAGCAGTCCCCACCCCATGTCTCCTGCCCAAGGCAGATGTAGGGTCTGCAGCTCCCCACAGCTGCCTGCATGGCTCTTACCCCGACCGGGCTCCAGCACCTGGCCTGGCCTGGGAGCGGGGCCATGGTAGCAGAAGAAGCGCAGCCATGGTAAGAACTGCCTGGGCACCTGTGGGAAGCTGTAGACCCTCTATCTGTCCTGGGTGGGGGTCAGGGACATGGGCTGCTCTCAGGCACCCCCACCTCAGGCAGATGGAGGGTCCATGGCTTCCCCAGCTGCCTATGCTCCCTGGGCTGGGCTCTTGCTTCCTGCCTAGGTGGGGGGCGGGGCCAGTGGTGAAAAGTGGGAGGGCCATGGCCCCATGAACCACCCCGTTCTGGTGCATCTGCTGCTGAACCTCTGGCAGCAGACTAGAAGACTGCAGCCACAAATAACTTCTCAAAGTTAGGGTAGATGCCATGACTCGAGCCACGGAGTCACCTGCAGCCAAGCTGGCCTGAAGAGCTGTTTGGCCACTAGCTTGCCCTTGTCCATAATCACAATGAATTCCTGTTTGCAATTGTCAGGTAACCTGTCTTTAAAACCTCAACATGTTTTCCGACAAGGTAAAGTCATACTGACCTAGAAGTTCCTGTTGATTTGCAATGCTAACCTGCAGACATGCTGCAGAATGAAGTTTTCAACCAAAAAGGTCTAGCCTCTTTGAATCTTTCCCTTCTGGAGTCGATGCATGGTGTTCTTGCCTCTCCAGTGCATTAGCTGTGGCAACTACTAAAGAGCCTGGAGGGGTGTCTCTGTACAGATATTCAAAACCCTTAGAATGGGCACAGTATCTCCTCTCTGCCTTTTTTTGCTAGGGAGCGGGGAGGGAAGATGGGGTCTGTTACAATAGCTTGATTGGCTCTAAAATTGCCTCATTGATCAGTAGTCACCCTGGTGGGTTCTCCTGAAACCAAAATATCCACCAATTTGGGGGATTTTTCACAGACCTCTTCCACCTAGATATCTAGGACTGTGCCCAGTCTTTTTAATAAGTCCTGGTGAGTGCTATAATCTTCTGATGTGGAAGAGTCAATCATTACCTCTACAGCCTCATCTGGTGATGAGTAAGAGGATGCAAATAGATGCTGAGACAGCATTTGCTCTATTTCATGTCCTGGAGGAACTGCTGGAATGTCTTCCACTTGCTCAGTACCAGTCCTGGTATCAACTATAGGAAGATGTTGTCTCTGGTGCTGATGCACTCATCGTGCACCGAAGGAGATAGACTGAGGTGGATGAAAGGATGACCTGGTGGGTTGGGAGGAAAACCACATAGGGTCCAGAAAGGCCTCTGACATGGTCCTGGGGTCCATTCTTAACCAGGCCATTGCTCCTTGACAGGTGGCTGCTGTAAGACCCATGGCACATAAGTCTCTGATGGAAAATGTACACTGTACCTATGCTGAGACACATAAGACCCAACCTGTGGTTTATGAAGAGGATGAAGAATCAGACCTCTGGTAACAGGGGAGCAGAACTCATTAGCACCAGAAGAGAGAGCCTGACGCTGGAGATGGTAGTACCAGAGAAATCATAGTCGGCTTCCCTCTTCTTGACAGTACCGTTTTATGAGGCAAGGAAAGAGTCAATTGCAATGGCACTGCAAGCTTCAGAAGCCTGAAGGCTAGAAGCCTAATCACCAGAACCAGGTGGAAGCCTTCCTGCACCACTGGAACCAATATCGAGAAGTTAAGTAGCTCTTGAGTAGCTCCATACCATTCCAGTGTCAACTGTACCAGCATAGTCTCTTGGGCTTGCGGTTTCTCCAGAAGATGGCCTGAAGAAGCTCCAGTGAATATTTCAGGAGTCCATCTCAATGGAGCTGGCACGGGTTAATGACCTCCTCTTCTTAGATTAAGACTATTTTGGGAAGTGCCTCTTCTTAGAGTCCTTCCAGGAATTCTTGCCTTTAGGAAGGGTTCAGTACTGATGATCTTGCTGAGTGATGTACCAAGTCCCCAGAAATCTTGTGCCTCTTTTTCTGCTCCAGTGACAGACAAGTCAGGCAGAGCACTCCAGACAAACTTATGGATCTGGTGCCTGCTCTGAAAAGGATGGCACTAAGGATAGACAGAATGCTGACTCTATAAGAGGATACTTGAGGGTGGCTACTCTGTCCTTCTCTGAGTTAGTCTTAAATCCTTCACAAATGTGACACTCGTCACTCACATCAGATTTCCTCAAGTATTTCAGGCAGCTGGGGTGTGGGTCACTCACTGGCATCAGTTTGCCACATGAACATGATTTAAACCCCAGAGAGGGAAGTGTAGCTCCAGTACTGAAATTTAAAATTGGCCAGATTAAAGACCTATGGTGGAATGGACATGTGCAATTACTTGAAGAAGAAATAATCTTAATACAAGTATGAGAAAGCTGACTGAAGGAAATGTATGAGTCGTAGGTGCCAACTCTGTGGGTGCGCTGGAGCACTGACAGAAAAAAAATTGGTGGGCACTGAACACCCACCAGCAGCCCAGTGGATCTGCTCCTCCCCCTCCCTCCCAGTGTGTCCCTTGATCAGCTGTTCAGTGGCGTGCAGGAGGAGTAGGGGCAGGAGTAGGGTTTGGGAGAAGGGGAGGAATGGGGATAGGCGGGAAGAGGCGGGGCAGGGGAAGGGGTGGAGGGTCAAGCACCGCCCGTGAACTGAGGAAGTCGGCAACTATGATAAGCCACATTTTGGAAACAAGTCAGGATCAGGTGGAGGAAAAATTACTGAACTTAAGGACCAAGATTTTCAAACTTTTGCTACGGACATGCTACTCGGTTCTCATTGTACTAACAAGTTAAGTCTGAAGCTTGATCATATCTTGCACTTAATACATTTTAGTCATTAGACACAAGAAAATTGGGGGAATCTTTCAACTTTTACTAGCACCTTTTGGAACAGGAACACAATGTTAGCACGCAGAACCACCACTAGGTACCGAGAAACTTCCTTAATATGCATAACTGAATACAATCACTCTTAAAATTATTTTATCAGGCAGAGTTATCATTTATTTGCGGTACCATGGTGATGTGTGGTATGAAAGCCTATATACAACAGAAGAGGTAGTGCCCACACTAAGTTCTTTCCAAGAAGGGGTGGTCCCTGCCTCAAGAAGCTCAGAGTCTTAGGATGGACAGACAAACACAAAAAGGATTTTCTATACAAATCAACAAGATTGACTACAGCAGGGGTAGGCAACCTATGGCACATGTCCCAAAGGCGGAATGCGAGCTGATTTTCAGTGGCACTCACACTGCCTGGGTCCTGGTTATCAGTCACGGGGGCTCCGCTGCTGGCCTGAAGTACTGTCTGCCGGCCATCCTGCCAGCTGGGGTTCTGTCTGCTGGCCCCGCTCAGCCTGCTGCTGGCCCCAGGTCCCAGCTACCTGCCTGGGGTACTGTCCACCAGCCCCCTGCCAGCTGAGGTTCCATCCGCCGGCCCCACTCAGCCTGCTGTCGGCCCCAGGTCCAAGCCACCGGCGCTGCTACTGGCGTTCCGTCCACCAGTCCCGCGTCCTGGCCACCCGTCTTGGGTGCTCTGCCACCAGCCCGGAGTCCTGGCCGCCGGCCCGGAGCTCTGCAGCCGCCCCCCCACTTGTGGCCCACTGGCCCCAGCCTGGGGCAGTGAGGGGTGCAGACAGGGGCAAGAGGGGGCACAGCTCAGCACCCGCACCTTAAAAATTGTTCCAGCGCCACTGTACTGGAATATTTTTAAGTCCTGATTTGCTGCTTACATCACTGTCATGCCACGCGGAACAAGGCACTGCGTTTGACGTTGAAATTAGAATGTACATGCAAGAACTGGAATCAGAATTTTCTGACAGATTTCAAGATTTCCAGCGATTTGGTCCAATGCTTTCTTTTCTAATTAAACCTGAAAAGCTCAGAATTGTGTGTGAAACATCAAAGTTTGGAGATCTGCAGAATGCACTTGAAGCTACCAAGAGAGATCAATAGGGCCTCTTTTTTTCTGACCTGCTGGACGTCCCTGTCAGTGAAATTTAACTGTTTGAAAAAACTTGTGTTTGCAATGCTTTCAGCATTTTGAGTCACATACCCTTGTGAACAGGTATTTTCACACATGAAATCTGTCCTGTTTCCCTCTCAGAGCTGGTTAACAACTGATCACTCAGAAGCCTATGTGCAGCTTAAAGTATCCAAATACTTGCCAGATATTGGAAAACTCAGCAAGGAAAAGCAAGGATCACACTAAACTGATAAGATCTGCATTTTAATTTAATTTTAAATGAAGCTTCTTAAACATTTTAAAAACCTTATTTACTTTACATACAACAATAGTTTAGTTATATATTATAGACTTACAGAAAGACCTTCTAAAAACGTTCAAATGTATTACTGGCATGCGAAACCTTAAATTAGAGTGAAGACTCGGCACACCACTTCTGAAAGGCTGCCGACCCCTGGACTACAGGTAACTTAACAGAAGTTGTTTTTTTATGAGGAACATAAGAGACAGGCTGCATGTTCTGTTTATCCCACCTCCTCCACAAAATGTTATTTTACAAATGATTCCAGGTAGTTTAAGACAGACACTTCACAGTTGTATTACTCTAAAAGTTAAGTTATGAAACACTAACACACTACACAAATAGTAATCAAAGTTAACCTGATTATCGTTTACTTATGAGATCATCAGGATTCGTACTTACTTGAGCTCTCTGCTAAGCACTATATTAATTCTGTCTTTTAAGGGGCGATTCTTCTCAGGAATTGAGAACCAGGTCCTCTTACCCATTATCAATGCATTCTGTTTACCTGTGTAATATACAAAACAGTTTTTAAAAACTGTTTCAACTTAGTACAGAATCAGAGGTGGTGGTTTAGTGACATCTAGTGGATTTATCCCCCAATCTACTTTGAATTCTATTTAAACAGTTAATATGTTTAAGTGCAAATTTTAAACATTAGCAAGACTAAATATAAGTAAAAGATCCAACTTAGGCCCAGACCTTGTGACTGCTCATGTGAACAAAGTAACTTAGATACATACGTGTTTGCAGTATCAAGGCCTTGCTGTGCACTTTTTTAAAAAGACAAACAAAACCCATCAGTCTTAAATATAACTGTATGACTTATAATTAACAGAATAATCTATACTATCCAAAAGAGAACAGCTTCATCGCTGCTTTGATCAGGCCCTAGCTTCCTGGAACCCTGGTTCGTTTCACTAGAAACAAATTTTAACAGGTTCAGCATGTGATATTTAAACTTAAAAGCATTTCAGATCTCTCTTTCCCTAAAAATGTAGGCTCTACATCCCACAAAATTATAGAAAAATGATTTTGCCACTTCAAACATTTCCAGGAAGCTAGTGCAAGCTAGGAGACAAACTCACCTACAAACTGAAACTAAATGGGACCGTTTTACAAAGCTGGACTGTGCGTCAAACTTAACATCACCATTTTAAAATGTTAGTGGCAAAAAAAGAGAATATTCACACCAGCATTTAGTGTACTAGCTTAGTAGAACATCACCACTCTATGATGCACTGTGTAAAACTAAAGTGTACATGTGAAAGAACTGACAGTCATGCATAGAATTAGGTGTAAACTGAAGATATACACAAACACAGTAATGCTGCTAAACATAAAGCTTCTACTTGTTTGGAAACTTTCTTTTTCTAAGATCTGGGACCCCAGCTACAAGTGATAATGCTATTTTGTATAAACTCTTGAGCTAGTCTGCATCCCCACTGCCAAGTAATACTTTCATTTTGAAATCTAAATAAGCCATTCATTTTACTTTGAGGTTTCTCTTTGCAACAATGAAAACAAAATAGAAAGATACATATCAATATGCATCTGAATTATGTCATGCCAAGATGTGCAACTATTGCACTATAAGATAAAGGGGGTGGATTTAGGCTTGTGGTCAAGCACTTATAACTTTAAAAGTAACACTGTTCAAGAACATTCCATCATAGTTGGGCAAATTTACAAGAAATTAGATTCACAGAAAGGAAACCTCTCTCAATTAACATTAGATATTAGGATGCTTCTGAAGGAGTACATTAGGGCTTGACTACATGGAGGTTTTGCACTAGTTCAAGGAGAGTTAATCACCATCTAAAACACTAGCATACATAAAAAGAAAAGGAATACTTGTGGCACCTTAGAGACACAATGTATCATAGTGCATGGACTCTGCACTTACTGCACTCTGGAATCCTCTTGCAAATTGGACCAAGTTTGCTGCAAACTGAATTAGTTTGGTCTGTTTGTGTGTAGGCAACAGCTGCACATCACTATTTGCATGCCTCCAATGGCTATTCCCCACTGCTTGGAGGTTGACTGTTACTGACCTATCTGCTTACACATGTGCCCTCACCTGCTATGATGTCAAGTTCCCAGGGAAACCCACTCCCTCATTTAAAAGCTGACACATGGGGCCAGATTTAGCTAAATTTGGTCCTGGGTTTGATTATTTCAGCATTCTTGTGCTACTACAGTGATTTTGCTCCACAAACACCACAAGATGCTGCTGCTTGTGACGGTGCTGAGACCATGGATCTCACAGCCATCTGAGGAGAAGCAGCAGTGCAGGAAGAACTTGTGGCCAGCTATTATAATAAAGCCTGTTTGTGGACACTACAAAGCAGATGTTTGTGAGGGGTCATGACTAGGCCACCTACCAGTGCTGAATAAAGAGCAAATAGCTCAAGAGGGTCTACATTACAATTAGGGAAGCAAGGAAAAATATTAGGCAGAGGATTTGTGACCTGTCCATTTTATGAATAACTGGACTGGATTTCACACAATTATACAGTCACCCACTCCAGACAGTTTGTGGATATCCTGCTGCCAGCTCTCTTCCTCACCCCCACTTGAGGAAGAATGGCAATCACTGGAGGACGAGCAGGACAAGGCTGGAGAGGAGTTGTCTCCTGAAAGTCAGGATCTGTCTGGGACTCAGGACTCTGACGCGCAACAAGTTAAAACCCAACCCGATTCTTCCCCTGCATTGGTCAAGTCTGAGTCCCAGCCAGAAGCCCAAAGGAGCACTGAAGAGGCAGAGTTCTGGGGGGGGGAACTTCAACGTGTAACTACTTATCTTTACAATTTACTAATTATTATTGTGTTAACTATGCTAGCTTCTGTTCTGGGTGCCCCATGGTGGCAGCCATTTTATGAAGATTTGAGCTAGGAGCCTTTCTGACTCACAGTGAAATCAGTCCCAGGATGCATGCTGTAGTGAAGCAACAGACCATGGGATACCCTCTGAAAACAAAACACCCTCAATTTGCAAAAAAACACCACCATATGAGCACACAAATTGAAAAATGAAACAGGCTTTACATGTGCACGCTGTTGGTGTAGTTTGCATGCAGTGCTTTGCCAGATGTACAGCAGAAGTGTCACAATAATCACCCCCTTGTGTAAACAAGCCCTTATAAAAGGAAGTGTATTACAAGGAAGACTCTCAGAGGGAAAAATGATCTATGGAAATAAAAGAGCTTTTTCAAAAAAGGGATTAGATCAGTGGTCCCCAAACTTTTCATGGTGCCCACCCCCACTTCCATACTCCTGTCTCTGCCCCCCCGGGAGCTGGGGCCATGGACAGAGGAAAGGGGGCCACAGCTGGGGCCGGGTAGCGCTCCCTCCCCTTCCTCAGTGAGTGTTGTTGTAGGGGGTTGCAAACATTCCTTTGCAACCCCCTACAGGAGCACACTCCAGTTCAGGGGAACCTGTGGATTAGATACTTTGTAATTTAAATTATTTTAAATTAACTCAGTCAATTGTTCATACAATTGAAACCACTAAACAAAATGAGATGGTTAGGACTTTAAAGTAATAAGCCATGCCATGCAAGTGTAATTCATCACACTTGTAAAGAAATTTATATACGCACATAACTAGCACTGTCAGTTTAGATACAGACTCTACACAATCGATATGTATAGGGAATACAAAAACACATAACTGACCTATGATAAAATTATCTACTGTATGTTAAGACATATGCTAATATATCAATATTATTGTGTACCCAGTTAAGAAGGTCGAAAGTATTCTAATAATGAGTTAGCTGGCATTGCTCACAGAGCAATATAATCTTTCCACAACCTCTCCAGAAATCACAACATGCAGTCTTTAATATGGTCCTGGTATACACACTCCAGAGGAGCCAAGGTTATTCAAGCTCATATCTGAACCAACATTCCTAAATGTGATGACACGCCAAAACTTTTTTTTTTTTAAATTAAACCCTAAAAAAAAAATCTGTGCCATAACAATTTAATTACGTAGTTTGCATTCATATTGAAACTCCTAGTTTTGATATTCAGCCCAATAGTATATAGAATTTCTTTAAACATTCAGTTTAAAGTTTTACATAAAGAACATAAGAATGGCCATACTGGGTCAGACCAAAGGTCCATCTAGCCCAGTATCCTGTCTGCTGACAGTGACCAATGCCAGGTGCCCCCAGAGGGAATGAATAGAACAGATAATCATGAAGTGACCCATTCCCTGTTGCTCATTCCCAGTTTATGACAAACAGAGACTAAGGACACCATTGCTGCTCATCCATTGGAATACACGTGTCATCTATTGCCCCTCTGCAATTAGGGAATCCCACTGCTGCAAAGCCATTCACTATTTCATGCACATTGCCAAGAGTCACAGTCCTTTGTAGCAGGATGTCATTAATGGCTCTATACACTTGCGTTAACGCAGCCCCAGTGGTCCACTTCCCAACTCCAAACTGATTTGTGATCGACCGGTAGCAGTCTGAAGTTGCCAACTTCCATATAGCGATCTCCACAAACTTCTCATTTTGGTATTCTTCCGCTGCACACCGTTCCTGGAAGGTGGCTTTCTAATCCCAAAGTTCAGCAGCCACTGCTCGTTATGCCAGACCTGCATAATGATGCAATCCCTCCATTCAGTGCTAGTTTCCCAAGCCCAAAAGTGACGGTCCACCATTTTGATTTAGAGAAAATAAACTTTTTCAGAATATAGAGTGTTACAGTCTGCAATAAATTAAATAGTTCCATTTCTACTTTTATTAACAGACAGGTAAAAGCAAGATGAAAAACTATCTATTTCTATATCTTAATTATGCTTATGTAATTTGCAAATGAATAGAATTTCACTCAGCCAGTCAAATTACATTCTCAAAAAACCACACAACCCCATTATGAAAATGTATCTCAATATAGCATGTGCACTAAGTAGACAGACATACTTATCTCATAAGTAAACTTGGTTCAGTGCAACACACAGAAGACATGATCAGTGTAAATAGCTATGTAACTGTCACATGAAAAGATACATGTATTAACTTATTTTATACTAAAACAGTAATCAAGTCAATATAGACAGGAAAGTTACTAATCTTTTCAATTTAGTGACATCACAGAAACTAGTTTTAATAAGTAGAAGCATAAAAAGTGAAAACACAAACATTACCTTCTACAGTGGTTGTCATAGTCATTCTCTGAAAATACTTAAACTCATTCCTATCAACAGAACAAGAAAAAAAATCACAATGGGGGTTTACTAGGAAAAATGTGTTTGGATTTCTTTTGTTGATAGTAAAAATAGAATTTAAGTGAATTTTAAATAAATGTAAGCACATGTATTGCTGAAGTCCTCGGTTCATCTAGGTTTATGACAGATGCATAGCAAGCAACAGTACAAAGCTACATACAGGCCAGATAACATGCCTGAAACCTGACCTTTGCGACCTAAGTCCCGTGAAAGTGAGTAACCCAGCCCCGTGCCTGGATCCCGCCAACTGCTGGGAACGAGTCTAAGACCCATCACGCTTGTTTCCAGGAGGAGACCACGCAGCCCGGCAGAAGGCCCCTGTTCTGCTGCCACTAACCTGTCGGGTTTCAGACACCCAAAGGCGAAAGGCGCCACGCAGTCCCGCTGAATCTCCGCTGCCCCGCCAACACCCCCTCCCCGCAGACTACACATCCCGGCATGCCACGCTCCCTCTCGAGGCGAGCGACCCATAGGCATGGCCGCATGGCATGCTGGGACCTGTAGTCCATTTGCGCAGCTCTCGCTAGAGGACGAAGGGGCCCGGATCGCACTACCTGAGTGGGGGCCAAGGGAGGTCTCCGTTCTTCCCGATGCCCATGTTCTGGCACACGGCGGCTATGGAGTTTAAGGGGCGGACCATGGCGCTTCCTTTCTGCTGTCGCCTCCCGCCTGTTCAGCCTCCCGCTTGGTTCACGCTTTGGAATTAGCGCGCCACCACCCAGCCTCAGAGCGGTGAACATGCGCAGAGCCACCCCGCCTTGCTTGCCTTTTTGGGGAATGGGGAGGGACAGCCCGCCGCTCACAGCAAGGCATCACGTGTCAGAGACAGCACCAATCACCTCTCTCTCCACAGCCCCATCGCGGCAACGGTTCAACCTCTTTTCCCTCTAGCTCCACCTTTTTCTAACCTGCACGTGGTGCCGTGATTACGTCACTTTTGGGTTCGGCGGCGCGTGCGGGCGCTTGGAGTGCGGAGAGCTGCGGGATCTGGGCTCCCAACCATGCCGCGGGGGCGAGAGCCCAGCGGCCCCGGACAGTCGGTGCTGAGTAAATTCTTCCGGCCGGTGGGGTCCCTACGCGTAGCCGGCTCCTCAGCCTGCTCCGCGGCGAGCGGCGGCGAGGGGCTCCAGGCGGTGGCTCCGCACACGGTGCGCGGGGAAGGGGCGCAGTAGCAGCCGGCGTGGCGGGTGTAGGGAGCGGGGCTGCTGGGGAGGGTGCGGGGATGCACCCCGGGGGCGGGTTTTTCTTAACGCGCTGTGTGACCCTGGGTCGGTGCGTGGCCACACATACTGCAATAAATAACACCCTGCCAGCTCCACAGCGGGCCCTGACCTACCAGGCGTCTCCGGGGGCCTCTGAGCCTCTCACACCACCTCCAATTAACTGCTGTGGTGCCTGGGTAATTGCCGTTATAACTGCTGGGCTAGTCCCCTCACCCCTCCCGCCAGCAACACCACTACCGGAGCTGTATGGCCGAAGTCGGCGGTTGTGGTGTTTTGGTGTCTTGTCACCGCTGTAGTGCTTCTGGTGAAGACAGTCCAAGGGCTAGTCTACGCTAGAATCGTGACCGCGGCACAGCTGTACTGATGTAGCAGTGCTGCTAGTGCGGATGCGCTATGCTGACGGGAGAGCGCTCTCCTGTTGGTATAATTACTCCACTTTCCTGAGTGGTAGTTGGTATGTCAGTGGGAGAGCCTCTCCCGCCAACATAAAGCTGTCCACACTGATGACTAGGCCACTGTAAGTTAACTTGCTCAGGGGGGTGACTTTTCCACACCCGAGCCACTTAAGTTATACCAAAGTAAGCGCTAGTGTGTACAAGCCTTTAGTGGATGGGTGAGAACTTGCCCATCAGCTTAATAACTCCTGCTTCTGTGAGAGGTGGTAGCTATGTTGGTGGCAGAAGCTCCCCTGCTGACAAAGCAGTCTATACTGTGCTTAGGTCGGTATAATTTCTGTCACTCATGAGCGACATAAGTTATACTGAAGTAATTTGTAATGTGGACATAGCCTGAATTAAACTTCATTCTGAACTCCTAGCATACAATATTTACTTGGTAAACCCTAAGCAGGTGAAACTGTGTTCCTTTTATGTATGTGATTATCTAGGGCAGAGGGAGTAGTAACATCTCACTCTCTTCTCCCTAATTCAAATCCAGATAATGTAAGGTTTGAGTGAGAGAGCCAGGAAATGCAGTGAAGCAGAAAGTCTACCTTTATCCCCATTTGCTTGTGTGCTGAGATATTGCAGACATGCATAACACTGAAGTGTAAGATGAACTCAAGCTTCTAGGAGACCCCATGTTGTGTGTTTGCTTATGTTTAGATTTTATAAAGCTGAAAATTGAAAAACTAAATTTAAAATCAACATTACCAAATTATGCAAATCTATCAGCCTAGGCATAGTATCTTTTTTTTTAATCAAGCTCTGTATCATGGTGATTAATGATGATTTAAAAAATCTATTAAAAAAAACTATTTGCCCTGGCTGAGTAGGTGTTCAGGATTTGATAAGGTTGCTTTAAGTTTATTTTCTGAGAGTTGTACTATGCAAAACTCAGGATTCTTTGAAGTGGCTACTGTATATTCCCACTCAGTGGGTTGCACTCCCTACTCTAGTTCCTCTGAGTTTTGGAAGTTTTTTTGGAAAGCAATGCTTTTTTGGGCCCACACAAGTACTATCTTTGCAGCATCTGATATTTGCAGCTGAGTTTATGAAAGCACTGTGACCCCAAGTGCCTAATTTTTTTTCCCCTTTCCAGAGTCAGGTGAGCATATAAGGACCTTTGTGTCTGGAGTGATTTTAGAGTCTTTTTAAAAAATAATTCCAGATTTCTCTAATTTTATTAACTGTATTATAGATAGTAAGTATTAAGTAGTTTGCTCGACTGCACAACTATGATTCTATTCTTGACCCACTGTCCTGGGACATTTCTGGTCATTGCTGATCAGACCTCCAAAGATCCAGGTACAATAGGCAGATTTAGGTGATGAGCGTTTTGCCCTTCCGTTTATCTGGAGGCAGGAGTTCTTGTTTTTCCCTTCCCGTTCCTCTGTTTGCTGCTCATTTTGGAGGACCTTTGCATTGTTAGACTTGCATCAACAAACAGCACTGGTTCAGTGCCTTGCTTAATGAGGATACCTTTCAAACTCGGTATCTGGAAAGAACATCTGAAGAGCTGTCTATACCTGTCAAGGGACAGAGGAGGCTGCTTTCAGCTTCCAGGCAAATCAGGAATGACCGTGACACCAGTGTCAGATAGAGTGGCTTACTGGCAATGAGAATTGAGACTTGTGGTGCTGGAACTTTCTTAAAATCCTAAATCTCCCTCGCTATTAGTAAACCACCAGAGCAGGTCCTTTATTGTTGTTGGAAAGAAAGTTAGTGTAAATTAATGCTGCTCAAGCATTATTCTTGGGGGAATTCTGAGCCTAAAAATTCTGCACACAATATTGCAAATTTCTGCATATTTTATTTTTCAAAATAATACAATATAATCATGTCAGTTTCAATTGTTTTGGTAATTTATTTCAAAATACCTGTCCAAGGGAATGTCTGTAACAATACAGACAACAACAAAAAATTCAGAAAATGTTTTCTGACAAATAGATTCCTTGCTAGGAATATTAATACATAACTTTGCATTATAATTTATTTAAACTACAATTCAGACACTCAGCCAACCCCTGCCCCTCATCCCCATGTGTCCCTGTACTCCTTGTCCTCTGTTCCTATGTGTCCCTGCACCCTCACTCCCAGTCAGCCTCTACCCCTGCCACTAGCCCTTCTGAACCCCAGTCTGACTCCCCAGCAGCCCTGTGTGCCCCACTCTGTCCCCCCCATATCCAGGGCCTCTAACAGTGTGCTGTGAGGAACACAGCCTCTCCTCCTCCCTATTGGCTGCTGACTGCTGCTGCTGATGAGCTGGCTGTCCTCTGTTCTGCTGCCACAGCAGCCCCTGGTGTGTAAAGGGCATAACTGTAGCACTTCTTCAGCAGAATATATCTTCTGCAGAGAAAAAAAAATCTGTGGAAGTCATGATTTCTGCATGTGCACAGTGATGCAGAATTCCCTCCGTAATAAAGCATGGGCTTGACAGTATTTGTATGTTGATGTGTCTGTCTGTCTGGCTCTCTCTCAGGAGCCTTCATTTCTTCCAATATCATCAGATCTTCTCTCTCAAGTCTTGTCTTCTAATCTAGAATCTCCTTACCTTGTAGCATGGAGCATGATGTGGCATGCTCTATAGGAGTCTAGGAGACTTCTGCTGCAGTCTAGAAAAACCTTTACACTACTCAGAAGGGAAAAAAAGTTTTCTTTGTGGGCAGTTGGTGTTCCATGCCCATATAATGTATTTTAGAGTCTTCATTGTATTTTAGTCTGTGAGCTTCCTTATCTGTCAAAGTGTTTTCAGTGTTATCTCAACATATCTGCCAGTATGCTTTTCTATTCTTTTTAGTCCTTCCACCCTCAAAAGATTCTTGAAAGGTGTGGTTATCACCTTCCTAGCAATCAGACATCTTGTTTTACAATGAACATAAATCTGGTGCTGCCAAGATGATGTACTCACCTTTTGAGCCTTTGGGAAAGTGTTCTTTATTCTTTTTGTCACTAAAGATAGGATTTTTAATCAGAGTTACATCTGTGAGAAGAGCAAGTGAGTTGCAGGTTTTAATAGGTGATCCTTCTTTAACTTTGTTTTAAAGAGACAAAGTTGTCCTGTGTTCTCATCCCAAATTTAAATAAAAAATAATATCCAAGTTCCATGTGAATCAGACCACTAACATTATGGTTACTTCCTCCTTGGGGAAATCTAATCTCCCTACCCTTGATGTAGTGGGATTTTTATTTAGATAATTCTAAGGGATTTAGAAGGCGTAAAGGGAATGCTATTTCTACTTTTGTTTAAGTGGATTAGGCTGTCCTATTTAGACAGCCTATGCATTAGCTCGGAGAGCCTCACATACTGTCAGGGCTAAGACAACATTTATGCCTCCATAATGTTTCCACTGTAAAAATGTGCAGAGCTGGTATCTTGTGTTGTGTGCACTATTACGTGACGATACTCTCTCTTTACATGATATCTAGAACTGGTGTTACTTTGGAAAGGTAGTTTTACAATTTTTTTAATTAGATCTCAACCCATTTTAGAATTGTGGTGTTTGCTAGATTCCCACGAGTGGAACTATGCAGAGTTCTACTCAATGAAGAAACAGTGTTATTTTAAAAGTGTTGCTTTTGCATAGTCACACTATCAGCCCACTGTCCACTTTCCTTGGATTTCCTTTCTTGTAGGACTCTGAAATTTAGCAAGAAGAAGTGAGGCAACTGAGGCCACATGGCTGTGATGTAACCTTTGCTTAGAACTATTCAGAAGATGGTGCTCATGCAGCCTCACTGGGCAATACTTTTTAGAAAATTCTAGAAGCTCAGCTCTGCAGGGAGGGAAGGGACATATCCCATACAGACAATGCTCTCAGAGAGCCATAGATATCATGACAAGTGACTTTTTTTATAACAGACCTTGAACTGGGTGCAGGATTCAATGAAGTTTTGATTTCCCCAGTGACATACACAAACCACCTGTTTTAGACTGTCGTGGAAAATGTTACAACTGTTAGAAGTGCCAAAAAGAGACCCTCAGACATGCTTTTATATGGATCTGGAACTGCAGCATGACAGTATGCACATGTTGTATATTACAAGAAATAGTCAAATATAAAGAAATAACTGAAACCATTATGCACATGCAATATTTATCAATCAGAATATTTTA